TGTGTGTGTGTGTGTGTGTGTGTGTGTGTGATTTTTGTTATTTGCTCCAGGTTGTCCACCGCTTCAGGGCACAGAGGGTGGTCAGCAAAACTTCATGGGTGTCCTGGAAACAGCAATGAAAATAGCAAACCAGGATGCAGACGCAGAAGATGAGGAAGAGGATGGGCACGAAGAAGCTGCCAAGGTAAAAAGAAGAATGGGGGGAAAAAACAAATTCAGGGACTGCCAAATGGCCAAATTGTGTTTTTTGCAGCCAAGAAATCTGATTGTTTTTGCACCAAGCCAAAAAGAAATGCTTTATTGTCTCCCATAATAGCTTCTGCAACTTCTATGGCAGATTATTCAGTCATTGTTTTCTCAACTGCACCTTCTGCCTATTGCATCATTTTTGGGCTTGTTAACAAGTTTATTAATAGCAGTAATAATTTACACAGACGCTTTAAGGTAAATCAGTTTATTCACACACAAACTCACAGATGTATTAAGCTGTATCTTGTGACCTTGAAATCTGTTCTTGCGTTCATTTCATTTGCTATTGATCCTAACCTCTGCAGGCTGTGGTGCGTCCACCTGTCCAGAAAGCAAAGTCTCCAGCTCCTCAGGCTCCTGCAGGCTCCTCAACTCCGAAACTGGGAGCTAAAGGTGAGTTTCAAATGTGGGTGTGTTTAAGAGGGGCATGTGCATGTGTCATGCGTGATGTTTGAGTGTTACACAACACTGAAGTGTTGTCATACTGCAAACCTTATGGCCCATTTATGCTCACCGTTCTCGCTCTCACAAAAGGCGCTATATGAAAAAAGTGACTGAGCAATATCAGATTTCATTGTGACCTGGTCTCAGTCCTGAACTTACCTGCATGTGCAAAAGAAGACGAGGGCACTAATTTTGCTGTTGCCAAGCAGTAAACATGGAGGACACCTGAGTCAGTGTTTACACTTTTGTCTGTGTGCAGTAGAGGTCAGCAGACTTGCGACTGGACAAAGAAGACGAGGGTAAAGCGAGACAACACTTCACTTTTGGTTTTTTGTACTGCAGTGGCTGCTAAGTCTTTACAGAGGTGTATGCAGCTGGAGCCAGGAGTGGATCGTGATGCAAATGGCTTCAGTAAAACAAATTTCATCCAAAAAGTTCAGGATGTAAAAATGACACTTATTTCAAGCAAGTGATGAATCAGTTTTTACTGTTCAGACTGCAAAGAGAATCAGACCTGTATCTGATTCAGCACCACACACTGTTCAACCCAATATGTGACATAAACAATGTGTGGTCAAGAAGTGAGTCACAGATAAGCTGAAATAAACTTTTTCTAACGGTGTGAACGTGGTATACAGTAAGTTTCGCTTATTTTTGTCTTAATTATCCTTGTAGCCCAGCAGCAATTGGATTTCCTGTTGCTAAGGCGACAAGCTTTCATGCGTGCGGCACTGCGCTCCAAAAATATGAAGGTAATCTTTTGACTTCCCAGTTTATTTTCTTTGTTTTTGTTTTAGATGCATACAGTGCCATATTTACAGTTATGCAGATGTTTTTAGTACAGCTGCCTGTGATGTTATTGGAATTCCAAACCTTTGTTGTATTTTTCATTGATGCATCTGTTGCCGCGTTTGTAGGACATGACAGGAGCAGCACAGCACCTCAGACATGCCAAAGGACTGGAC